CGATTCAGTCGCAAGCTGCGAAAGAACTCTCTTCATCGACCACGAGGAAAAATCTAGCTGTATACGATGAGAACATTCTGAACGAGGTCCTGTCTAAACGTGACTGGCAGATTAAAGAAGACCCGACTGAAGACTACGAGCTGCTCGTCGAAGGATTGAAAAGCTGTGCCGAATTCGCCTCAGTTCCTCAATGAAGAATATTGGATCACATCCTCACTACTGCTAAGGAATTGCTCGAAAAGGGAAGGAAACTGAAGCTTGCTCCTAGTGCGACACGTTTAACACGGCTAGTAATAAATGCCAGCTTCAAAAGAGCTTTGCAGAAAGATGTACCTCGGTACAGGCAGAGGAAACACTGGAAGCATCAGAGAAAAGATACAGTCTGAAAAAATGCCGTCGGAATTTGTGTGATTATAATGTTCCGCTGTCAGCTCTGATGACGGAAGATGGGATCGTCAAAACTTCCCGCCATGATATGGAATTAATAGCAGAAACGTTCTACACCAACCTTCACCGTTCCACAATCCCCGTCCCGGGCCCCTATGGGTGTTGTAAGAGGTCAGTGGAAAAGCTATATTTTCGCAGTGCAGTTCCGATAACAGTCGCACAGAGTCCTTATGTAGGGCAGGTCCACTCCTTGGTCGTCCCGGGAAAAACCACCTGGAATTCTACCGTCGGAGGTTTGAGTTGAGGTAGAAAGCATGAAAAGTGGCACAGCTCCAGGACCCGATAATATCACTGCCGATTTCCTTAGAGCTGGAGGCCCCAATTTATATGCAGTTCTCGCAGCTCATATTACAGGCTTCAAAAGGAAAAAATCGCAGGCCAGTGGAGGACGTCGCGCGCGGTCATCCTGCACAAGAAAGGAGACCGAAGGGATCTTCGTAACTATTGCCCCACGTGCTCGTTAAGTGTACTTTACAAACTCTTCACGAAGATTATACTCTCGCACATATCAAGAACATTGGATGAGGCGCAACCAGTCGAATAAGCAGGATTTCGAAAAGGGATCTGCTGCATGGACCACATCCAAACCGTGTCCAGGGTCAACGAAGCATGTCGGGAATACCACTTGCCCCTAGTCCTAACCTTTGTCGACTATGAGAAAGTGTTTGACAGTGTCGAAACGAATGCAATCCTAGCGCTCCAATCCAGCGCTCGTCGACCAAGGAGTGGACCTGCCCTACATAAGGACTCTGTGCGACTGTTATCGGAACTGCACTGCGAAAATATAGCTTTTCCACTGACCTCTTACAACACCCATAGGTAAAGGGGTTCGACAGGGCGACACAATATCGCCAAAGCTGTTCAGTGCCGCACTGCAGTGGATAATGAAGTCACTCGATTGGGATGAGAAAGGCATACGTATTGATGGAAAATTCCAATCAAACCTTCGCTTTGCCGATGACATTGTCATCTTCTCAAGAAGTACTAGCGAAGCAAAAGTGATGATCAACGAGATCAACGAAGTGGGGAAAAGACCGGACTTCGCATAAATCGAAAGAAGACCCAGTTTACAAAAAACCCATGTTGCGAAGGCGAAAAAATTGAATTGGATGGCTCTCTCTTTGCAGAGACTACCTCGTACGTTTGCATTGGGCGATCGATGAATATGGAAAACAACATGAAGGAGGAACTAGATAGAAGAAGGAGAGCAGCTGGACCGCAATTGGGCCTCTCAAAGAAGCCATCGACCAAATGAAGGACCCAAAAATCCGCGCTCATCTCTTTAATTCTACGGTCCTCCCAGCGCTCTGTTATGCTGCAGAGACGTGGGCTGATACATTAACCACGTTAAGAATACTCCGCACTACTCACGGCTTGTGCGATCTCTTCTGAGATATAACCGGCACTCTCAATATCTAGCCGGAATGCGAAACTCTGACCTTCGAAATCTGTCACATCTTCGAGATCCAGGAAAATATATATCGATAGTGAAACATAGATGGACCGGTCACATAATGAGAAAAGACGACAGATGGACGAAAAGAACAGTAGAGTGGACTCCAAGAGAATGCAAACGTCCCTTTGGACACATTGGACGGACGTGTTCGTAAACAAAGTTAATCAGCTGTACCCGCAGCTGCAGTTGTTTTACAGATCACGGTATGAGAATCGCAAGCGACAGCAAGCTCAAACAAGACCACCACCATGGACCACGATTGTGAGATAAAGAAACGAATGGCACATGTGCTGGGGTCCGTACAGCTCGTGAAGACGGACTGTCCAAGTATCCAAGTAAGTAAGTATCCATCTAGTAAGATCCATCTATATCCTACAAATAAACGTCGATATTAGTATCAAGATTGGTCCCAAAAGAAGACCCGACTAACTCCGCTCCGAGATCTTCGAATTGGAATAGAAAGAATAAGCTATGAAGATCCCTTCGATTTTTTTTTGTTCTGAGTTAAACCAAGGAAATCAGAAACCAAGGCCATCTGTGAGTGCTAATAATTTCAGGTCTCCTCTTTACGTTAGATTTGAAGAGTCTTTCAGTGGATTGAATATTGAGATTAAGTAAACCGTGGTAAAACTTTTTCTTAGGCGGTATATAGAGACTAACTTGAAGAGAATATTCTCTGTCTGATAACCACTTCTGCATATTAAGTACGTACTTCTCTCAGCACTATTTTCCACTGTAATGTAACCAATTACACAATTTCATTACATTTACTTGAGACAAGGCCGCGTGCCTGCCCTATATTGATACTTGTCAACAATCAGGTGCGGCACCGGGCACGGCAGCATTGCTTTGTGGCTCTACCACTAGATCTTCGCCATTCGCTTGGATATTTGTTACCTCCCTTAGATCGCTGCCGACGCTATTGCTCTAACCTGCTCGTTTCACAACTTCTTCGATTTGCTTTGGGTCAGAATAATGTTAACTACAGTCCTATGCTTTTTCATTATCAATATTTGAAACTTATCCACAATCCTCATATAATCACCACGCGTTGTTAATCTAGCAACTCACTTGCACTCGTTATGAGGACACCACGAATACATAGAAAATCCCTTGTTTCTTCAACGAGATTTATTACAACACATGTATTTTCGCTGCTCGACCTTGCTCAGGACCAGATGAGCCTAGTAACTAATTTTTTTCCTTCCCTATCCTTCCTGCAGATCATGGCTTTATGCTTATCGACAAACAATGTAAATGGTTCTTCCAATATTTTCATGAAAGTGCCAGGATATCTGCTAGTTTAAAAACCATGAACGAAGTCCGCCTGTATAAAGTTTTAAGAAAATGCAGCAACACTGAGTTTTACAAGCAACGACCGATTCACCAGAGCAAGCAAAACACTGCCGAATAGTGGTAAAAAATATTATGGTAATAGTGTCAACAATAGACTGGCCAAAAAAGTAACCAAAACCTATCACACCTTGAAAACAAAAGGCGTTATTAATGACGTGCACTTTTATCCTTTCGACAGCCACGTCAACCTGTCACCGCATCACGTCAGTAAAAATAAATATGCCATTAGCACCGTCCTTTTTCCGAAACCCGACATGCCATATTGTCAGCGAGAAATCGCAGAACACCCACCCAAGATAAAACCGGAAAAGCTTAAGAACCTACTAACAGTTCTATCAAAACGCCATTTTGGATGCATGTTACCTATCAGAATGCAGGACTCTAGGCTAAGGTAAAACCAGCTTCGGGAACTATTTCCCAACCTACCTGTCTTCGGTCATACACAAGCCCAGTAGTGAAATTTTCCTCAAATCACTAATGAAACTTTGAACGCCTTTGCTAGCTGTAGGAGCTAGCGGAGTTTTGAAAAATACTCATTATGATGAATAACATTCATTCTTCATTTATAGCCTATTTGTGGAATATCGTAAGTATGAGACCCAGTGACGTTTCATTTTCATGGTTTAAGGAAGCCCTTCAAATTAATTGCGATTAAAGCCGTCAGAAATGCTTGGTATAACGACTGTATCCATACCCAATACCAAGTGGACTATCATAAAGCAACCTCATAACCAGAATTTCGCCATTTTATAGTTAAGTTAACATCGGAGTAAAAATAGGTTCAAAAAGGCGATATTTGCCCGCCGAAGTTTCTTGCTGTCGGCTCCACTCTCGCTAACAATATCCAAAAATTGAAATAGATCACACAGGAATGAAAGTTTATAGCCGGAAACTACTTCGTAGTTTTTGGCAGAGAGCATTTCTCCAATATTATTCCCAGTTTTTTTTCGACAGCGTGTGTAAATCATTCACATAACGTCAACATTAGTACGAACGCTCGAGCCATATGTAACCGGGTAGGAAGATGAACATGTGAAGGCTCCATCTTCAGATTTAGGCAAAAAACTATACATTTGAAAAATTTACAACATCAAGGATTCAATGAAGATGGAAAATGGCAACCAGCACCATGCCCAACTCTTCAAATTCCATGGCCTTTTGCTTTCATTTATGTCTCGAAAAGCTGAACGTTACGAGGACAAGTCGGCGTCGGTGAATAGCTGGAAGTGCCTTCAGTGTTATTAAAGTTCCTACCGTGAAACTGAAGCTAGTAGTATCCTGTATCAAAGACAGCGTCCGAAGTCTATCTATGTGTACGAACAAAAATCAAAGACACAGCCACATACGCCTACATAGATATGCTACGATGTCGAAAATCATATGTGCCGACATTGTAATGCATCTTAAAGACAATAGCCGGCCAATAGTTGCTAGCAACTGAGTTATAAGCCATGTCAAGCACACAGTGTAGACACTACTGGTTTGAATGAGCCTACTCTACAGAAACCTTCATTAAAAAACATGATTCTTTCTCGAGTCTTCAAGTTAACAGAACCAACTGGGTAACTCTGCTAAGCAGCAGTGTTGAAGGAACACTTTGGTTGCGCTTGCTTGCGTCTCTCAAGATTAACGAAAAGGTAAGTTTTATATGTATATATATATATATACATATATATATATATAAGCAAAAAAAAGCATGCATGCGTATGAATGAATTTCTGCGCCCACTGTTGAGAAGAGATTAAACTAAGGATAGGGTTGTAGAAAAGCCTACGGTCTGGAAATAGTATGCTAACAAAGTTGTTAAAAAATCTATACAATGCAATAAAATAAAATAAAAGGTAAAATTCTGACCAGCTTTTAATCTTCCGATAGTATCTGCTACACTGCCCGGTTTCACTCGAGTAATGAATGCTCCTAAGCGACCATTATCACTACGTCGTCCTCCAACAACCTAATGAAAGAAAAATTGAGACTGTTTTTAAGCTCCTCTAGAACAAAAATGGCTTTCACCTTAAGACCGAGATCTCCAGAAACTGAGTTGTCAGTTTTATGCAGTACCATGTGTCCGATGAGCCTACGCTGGTCCGCCGACGGCTGCCACGTGACGGGATGCTAAATTTTACGTCTTTAATTTATGGAATAACAGTAAGAACAGGAAATGTACAAATTATTGGTGACAGTCTCCACTATTGGTTATGCTGCTAATCCTGGATAAAATGAGCTAAGACGCCTCCACAGTATAAGCTTTCAATTCACCCACTTGAGGTTAGAATATTCATGAAATACGGAGACTTATACTTTCGTATTACCGAGAGATAAGTGCGAATTTTCGCAGCTAGCATGTCTCCTGGAATAACTGGAGCCGAGAAAACACGAGAATATGAGCGGCTTTCATCAGTTGGATGTCGAATAACGGCTGCTCCAGCTGAAGAAAGTAAATAAAATAATCGGATAATTAGGAAAAACGTTGGTAGCTCGTGCATCACAGAGCCCGCGCCTGTCAGGTCCACTCATCACTAAGTAAATTCTTCTTCGCGAAGTAAATTCATTAGTTTTCGGGAAATTTGAGATACAAGTAAGATAATGAACTCTTGGCAAAAAGTAAATTACTATTCATTTCCAAATTTGTGAGAAAGACTCGCTTCAAGTATACATTATTTTTGAATCACAAAAGTTTTATGAAGCTCTTCATTTCCACACTACTTACTTGGATGGCCTGTCTTCAAGAGTTTCGGACCCAGCAGATTCTAGATTCATATGTTTCGCGCAAGCATCATTGGGTCAAAAACATGGGCATGGAGCTCCTTAGAGCCCATTAGATGACATTAGATGGAAAGAAGCTTTAACAAAAACTATTCTTATCTCAATTTGGTTTCATAACCGAAGAAAGTAAGATTCATAGAAGATTTGAAATAGTCGTAATTATTTGGAAATCAAAGTATAAGGGTGAGGCTCAAAGCGAGAAACTTTATTAGCCTACGAATCTAGTTCGGTAGCAAAAGATAAAGGTTCCGGCGTCGATCTGTCCCTGAGGGATGCGCCATGCATTCGACCTCATTAAATATTGTTGGAGGTGATTGCATGCATATCTGGCCTTTACAATGACTCGCGGAGGCCTATCGATGTCTCGAACCAGTGCTGCTATCCTGTCAGACAGGTCCGGTACCAATTTGCCGACCCCGGAGGAATGGAATGCTTGGTGGGCCATGGGCGCGGAGATCGATTCCGCGTGTGTATTGCAGGGCGCCTTCGACCACTGCGCCACACGCGCCCTAGTTCGGTAGGAGTACACAAAAAACTTTCAAAAATTTCAATCGCATGTAAACTCCATCTGTTGTTTTAATTCAAGTGATAGTGGAACAAAGAAAAATAATTTGGGAAACTCACTCTTACGACTGTTCTTCACTTTATCTGAGCCATATATGTAGCATAGAAGATCTGTGGTGAAAAAATAAGTTAGCGTAAACAAATTGCCTACAAATTGCTGAATCAATAATACAAGTCACTAGATTTCAAGAACATGGGCGAACCTTTCTCAGTGGCACATTCATCCGGAACCCGCTGGACAACTTCTCCAAATGACGTTGAAGGCAAATCATCTTCAGAAGACGACAATGACTGCATTTGTCTGAAGGAAAACGCATTGAAAGACATTCCTACACAAACGCAACCAGACCCGAAGAACTATACACCTAACTGAATCTATTCAAACCTCACAGGCTGCTGACATGCATTTGAAGTAAAATCTAATATCTACGTTACCTAAAATATTGGTGAGGTCAATTCGATAAATTGGTAATCACCTCCGCAGATCTTTTCGTATCTATCATTGACAGAAAGAAAGAATAGCGGTGAAATTAATATCATAATTCAAGCACAATCATTTACCTTACCAGCCGCTACACTCTAGCAATAAATTACATCTGAAGAAGGCAGACCTGTTTCGAAGGTTTGTTTCAGTGCTTCAGCTATAACACATGTTGGTAGTGTAAAAGTTTATACATTATATGGAACTTTGAGTGCAGCCAATTCGTCAAAAAGAATAGGCCAAATTGGTTGCTCAGAATGGGAGTAATGACAACCTGTTGTGATTTATGAAAAGATTAGAGAGCGCGTATGGATGGCTATGCTTCACATAACTGTGAACACCTAAAACTGATGAAATAACACTTCCTACCGATGAAGTCTGCCCTTTTTCCCACGATGGCTACTTCCACTTGACGGTGGAACCAACTGAGTAAACTTGTTGTCGAATGGTATTGACACAACTCGTTCTGAGTTGTCTGCTCGAAAAGTACCATGGGAATTACCTAGAGATATACAAAAAATCACAGCTTACAAATATACAAAACACCCACCATCAGAAATATCAGAAAAGTTCTCGTGAGGTACGTCCTGTTCCCTTGTGACCCTGAATGTAAACATTAGTAAATAGAGTTGAACCTGACGACGGTTGCCTGCGGAAGTATCGAGAAAGACTAAAATGTCTGTCAAATCATATAAAAAAGTGGTTTTAAATTCATTCTGAGTAAGTGTTGAAGTCATTTTAGAGCAACAGCCAGCAGTACATTTAGCTTATGTCAGCTATGCAAAACCACTTTTATTGTACTTAACATCTTGAATTAAGCTAACAAAAGAACGAAAAAAACGATATTTCTGATTAATACTCTTCATGGCTACAATTTCTCTTTCCATAGTCAGAGAGCCAACTTTGTTTTCCCACGTTTTCCTCCAAAAAATATCCAGACGTAATGGAAACTCCGGTAAAACATAACCGAAAATTTTAACTTATTATTTACTGCCTACTCTTTTTAACGGCAGGGTATACATTGTGAAATATAACTTTAATGATGCTGAGATATTTGCAAAACTCCGGACCGCAGGCGTATGCGGTGGGGAACGAACGCGATATTGTCCTTTCCGGGGAGTAGACCCCAGATCAATCCCGCTGACGGGTGGTTGCTGACGGCAAAAGATCGATAGAACTAGCTGAGAGACAGGCGAAACGATGGACCCGCGTTGTGTGGGTGAACGCGCTAGTCCCCGGAAATGACAATAGCGCGTTCGTTCCCCACCACATACACCTGCAGCCCGGAGTTTTGCAAATATCTCAGCATCATTGAAGTCATAACCGAAAATATTCGTATGAACGAAGCTGGGTGTGCCTCACTAAACAGAAGCTCACATTTTCTTAGCGCGACGCAAGCGAACATTCGGGATTTCGTAAAATTGGATATGACGGTGTTTCTCAATGTATCGTTGATGTTTGTGGATACCAAGATTATATTTGAAATTTTAAGCGTTCAAGGGTAGTTTCGAGTTTCGCAAATTTTATTTATAAGCAGTTCTTAAAATTAAACATTATACCCTGAGAGCGATAAGCAAAACTTCTATAGGCACCCTAAGTTCTAAACTCCTCAAGTAATCCAGTTAACAAAAAACCAGCATGGCACGCTCTTTGCGAAAGAACATGGATTTTTGTCGTCAAATAAGATATGCTATAATAAATTACTAAAGAAAAGTTAACGTTACCGGTGGCTAAAGCAACTATGTTCGCCAAATATTTCGTTTGTTCTGCACTGGGACACTTGATGTCAGTGCAAAACACACTTGATCATCTAGTGGGTTCATGAGAAATCATACCTGAGATGTTCTACTGCACCCCCTTCTGAGGCTCCTGACTCACCAAAGACGTCCTTCCTGAAAGGCCAGTGTTAGTTATTTATAAATGACAGTTTGTTATAATCAATATGAAATTACGCTGAGGAATTCTGCGTATCTAATCACACTGCCTTATTTACTATATGCTTCTTAAGAAAGACAGAGACATTAAAACAGGTAAGTGTATCAATTACCCAACTTTTTGAGGTATAACAAATGTTAAGCTATTTAAGCACTTGTATCACTGAAAGATTTCACTTTATTGTAGATGGAAGAGTCGCTAGTTAATGTTGTTCACTTATCTCGTTACTATGAGTGTTTCGTAGTACAGCAATGCCCTTTTTGCCTTCCCACTTCAGCATGATGACACCACAATGGTAATAAAGTGCCATTACTAAGCCTTTTGTGAGATTCTTGGATATTTCTTGGACAAGCCTTCCCTGCTAGCTTCGACAATAGCACTTATATCGGATTATTGAGAACCCTAAGCGTAGTGGTTTTTTCTGAATAATCTTTCCACTTTGTTCAACGTTGCTCAGTGAAAGCTAACACTTGGAAAGCTTCAAAAAATTAAGCATCTCATCTGAAACAAGTTGAAAGAAGTACACTGGAGATCAATAAACGAGCACACTAGCAGATCAGAAATTGTAGCTTAAACTTTAAAAAGTTGTCACCTGTTGTCAAAAGTTGCCTAATCAAGCGTGTTACTCATCTAAACGGACACTATTTTGCGATCGTTCCATCAAAAGATATGGCAAGAGAGCTCTTGCATTAACGTCGAAAAAAGCGTGGCAGCTTTGAGAACAGATAAATGAACCGTTATTTTCGCCATGTCTTTTCATAACTGGTACATGGCTCGATTTTTTCTTTATTCCGCAATTATGGATCACCAAGAGTATAAGGCTAGGCACAGACGATTTAAGCGTGTAAGCAACTCAGAACGTTAGAATGTTGACTGAGAGTTGGGCGAGAATAAAAGGGATGAGTGAAAACACATTGGCCAAGAAGCGCTAGAATTTGATAAGGACGAAGAATGTGCACTATTGAGATGGAAAGCATGTTCACACAAAAAGTATAACAAATGCAAAAGAGCTTAAAACAGCGGCAGAAAGCATTCTTTTTGTTAAGAAAATCTTTTCTCAAATTCATTATGTATTATCTGGTTCTGGTCTGTACAAGCGCTCTTCTCATCTGTACAAGGTCGGTAGATCGGTAGCAGACCTGTCTAAAAAATCCGCTCCATTCCATAAATTACAGCGAATACGTGTAATGATGACCTAGAAACGCTGTAGCAGGGCTATCTCGAAATTATATAAAAAGCCAGCATTCAATGGTATAGTGAATAGCGCGAAATAATCATTTTGTAAAGAGACCTACACGAAAACTCATACACTTCCGTAGATGATGGGTACAAGCCAAGGAACTCAATAAAGGAAGAACTGTAACCTGCACAATATGTAAAAACAAGTGCTATAAATAAATTAATGAATTCAATGATGTTTACAGGCGAATTCGTCAATGTTTGCCACGTCCCTTTGGAATTTTCACGTTTATAGGCGAGTCCCGGCCGGTAATACGTATATAATTTCAGCGTTCTTTTTTTCATATTGCCTTAATGAATGAAGGGAATTCATAATTCCAACTTGGTTATCTCTTCTGTTCTTCAAAACATAATTCCTAATATTGGAAAATTATTGCATAACTACGGATCTCCTTCATGCGGATACCAACTCGGATAGTAGAAGGAACGATGTACTCCAAACACCTCCATGTACTGAAACGCAGACCAAACGCAACCAAGTATTGGTCTACCCTAAAGTAGACGTGAATAGCTTTCTTCTCTTTGCTACGTCGGATTGACTTGCAGGTTCGGAATACACCCCGAGTCATGTACATGTGTAGAAGCGCTTCTGTGGTTGTTTTCATCAGCATTATTAGAATTTATCAGAGATCACTATCGACAACAACAGTCCTGTATAAAACAGTATTGCTGGGTGAGGTTGCCTCATTGGAGCGGTGCTTCACTGAAGATGGTTCGACTCGATACGACCACGAAGACAGTACACCGCGACTAGGAACAACTGCGGACCACTGACTCGGAACATAGGCTCTGAAGAAGACGAAGACGTCGAAAGGTTAGTCGAATAAAGTTTAACAACCTCATGTCACCTTATCAATGAAAGAGTAGATATCAGTATTGTACTTTGTCCAACAATTTGACCTAAGGTCTTCAGTGAAATAACTGGTGAACAAATACACCTTGGTGTCGTGTCCAACAAATAACTACTACGGCACCAAGGTCAACAATCAACTAGTGGACATATTCAGTCCCCTAAAATTACAACAGGGTGTGGTACGCATAGTAACTACCTTAAAAAAACAGTTTAACAAGAACTGAATAAGTCATATAACGAGCAGAAATATAGAAAGTGCAAAAATATGATTTCCAGAATATGAAAAAGACAAAAATATACAACTAAAATATAAAGCCCTTAGCGCGCAGCAGTCTCGTGGAGATTACTAAGTAACAATGAGAGATGTCAAGAAAGAATGAAGATTTCGTAATCCTGTTGGAGCTAGTTAATAATTAACGAGAGTACACATGTGGTAAAAGTAAAATGCACTCCAAGTATAGGTTGTCAAAATGCTGAAAAATTGAAGTGTTTTACTGGAATAAATGAATTTCCCTCAAGTATTCTATCCAGTATAAATAATTAAAACCTGTCAACCCTTCGATCTTCCAATCGGTTGTCCGCCCCAGTGTAGAATTCTGGCCGGTTTTCCTTATGTCTGAAATAAAGAACGGAGTAGGTAAACTTCTACAAACACGAAATTGAATTTGTCACAAAATAAAACAGGCAGCAGGTCATATTTTGCGTTTGCCCCACTATGTTGAAAACGTTACGTAGTCACCTTTTGTCTTCTCGCGCACGTACGCTTTGCGAACTTCTTTTGTCTCCAAGTTTTGATTTCCCAATTTCGTGAGAATCCACAGTGGTTTTGGGTCTGAACTGGTGAATTGTTAAATTTACAATTGAAATTAAAAAGTTAAGAATGAATTCCACCTCTGACGAGCGGTCACCCGATTCGTTTCCACTCGCGGAAACGTTGACTGATGCTGCGGAAGGGTACCATTCCCTTGTTGTCGGAATTGTTCTTGCTAAAAATTCCATCTTCAAATCCGTGACAAACCATTCCTGTGTTAGAGAATAGTGCTAAAAACCGACGAATGAAACGCTACGAAATGCAAGAGGATATTTTGTGGAAATGGCTTCAGGCTAGCTGAAAAGGCGAAAAGAGAGAAAGAAAATCATCCAATAAGAAAATGCTAAGAAAAATACCAGTCACCTATTTCAACTAATGTACATGATATTATAGCACATTTTGTCAGCATGTTCTGAATTGGGTCAGGTGTGGAGACGTTTTGTAATCAATTCCTTTTCTCGTATTCACGTTATAGGAAATTCGTAGATTTTGCGCGTAATTCGGCCGGTGTTTGGGTTTCTTGGTCTTCTAAATGTAGTTGAATGCTAGGCGAGTCGATTCTCCAAAGAATCCGCATAGAATCCTAGCATAACTGAGGTAAGGTATTCCCAGATCTTCACCACTCGCAAAATTTTGCGGATAACAGGGAGCAAGCCGAACCTAGGCAAGTACGATTTTTACGACCTTTGATGGATGAGGGATTTGGATGGTACCGCTGCATAATCTAACAGGGTCTTCCGCATTCAACGCCACCACTATCGCTGCGCTACGTGCGCTATAAAAATTGATAACAAATATCTAATTACTTAAGAGAAACGTGACTGCGTTTATTTATCTATAGTGTATAAAACCTTCGAGACCGCACAAAAATATACATGACCCTTCACCTAAATTAAATGCCGTAACGGTTTACATAATTTTGCTAAGCAAGGTTTCTACCTTGAAAACCCTTAAATTAAAATCTTAGAAGCATTAAAGCAATGGACGAAATAGAATTTTTAATACAATCATGACAAACGCCTATGCTGACGACACAGAGCGGTAGCCACAATATCCCGCTTATTGAAATCGATGATATATGAGCCTCAATGAGTCAGTTAAAAACAAAGAAAACCCAAGAAATCTCACTGTAGTGAAACCATAAGAATTATGTCCTTGGCAATGCTTAAATCCTCATCTTTTTTATCTCAAATATCAGCACTTGACACTTGACACCTGCCCGTCCTCACTGGTTGTGCGGGTCCCAGCATAATCACCATTTATCGGAGATTTGCTGGTTAAGCCACTGTGGTTCCCTGGAATCCCGAGGTCATCCTGGCCAAAGTCTGCCCCAGGTCCTCATAACGACAGGCAATCGCAGCCGTTGTGGATCAGAGGGAGATTCGCCACCATGTGACATTGATACCAGAACGGTGGTGGATCCTGGTATTGGTTTACTCTTAGCTAGGCTTCCTGAAGGAAACACCAGACTCCTTCTCAGCTTGAGAGGCCCAGCCAGGGGTGAATCCCCAGCTGTACATCGCAGGCCGACACCCAGGAACACCTCCCAGTCACGATGAGGCGGTAAACCGTTGAGAGACAAATATCATCATTTATCACAAAAACGTTCACTATGGTGTAAGATGAAGTTATCTAAATAGAAAGATAACCTATTTCTAGCAATGAAAATTAGTTACAGTTAGCGGCGAATGTTTTAAAACTCTAAGACCGAATGCTAAAAACGGCCCAGTAATATGTTTGTTGTACAGAGAACGGAATCAAAAGAGTGACATGCGAAAACTTACTAAGCACAAGACATTTTACTACCTTAAAAAATTCTCAATCTGAAACGTACTAATTTGCTTCAAGCTGACATATTTAAGATAGCTATACTTATACAGCGACAAATTTGTTAAGGGTTTTTCAAACCTCAACAAGACTTGGTTGTCTCTGTAGTGTATTTTGGCGTCGAACTTCATGCTTCAGCGCTCCTTTCTCCGATGTTGGACCGTTTGCATCACGATGACTGATCTCATGCTCTTAAGAGGAGGAGCTCATCATAATAAAACAAACATGGGTTAAAGATTTCAGTTAATTCACTCCAAATGACATAGGTAGAACATTGATGCAGTCTTTTCTCCACTTAATGGTTCATGCGGCAATTAAAAGAAAAGGACCTTCTTATAAAAGATTGCCTCGCTTCAAATTATAACTCCTTCTCACTTTCACCACTAGTAAATATTCTATGAAAAGGAAAAACGAACAAGCCAGCGTAACGCAGCAAATAGGATGAAAACGTGCCTGGTTTCGAACTAGGAAACGGAGAGTTCGGCAAAGCCTGAAGAGGTGCTGTGAGTTGGTGTGGTGTCGCAATCTTAAAGGAATGTAGCATGCTAGCTAAAGCAAAAAAATTTTGAACTGAACTCATAAGTGAACTTACCTTTGCAATGTCACCACGTTGAGATGGTGCAGTTGACGGTTCAGCAGTGGCAACATGCGGCGTTTGGTTTTGAGAAAGAGTGGATAACGAAGGAGCAGGGCTAAAAAACGCTGCTCTAGGAAGGAAAAAAACCAGAAAAACACAGATATTCTAGAAATTTCACTGGTCAGTGGTCTTTTTGTTTAGACAACACTGTTGATAACTCCATGATAAAACGACTTGCTGAAATTTAAGTGGACGGAATGGAAAATCGGACTTAATATAAGCAATTCAATGTACACGAATAAGAGTATTAGCGTGAAATAAAACAGTAATGACATTATGAAAAATCGACGCAAGCAGTAGTTATTAAAGCTTATTGATAACTAAAAACTGGTCTAGGTAATGTTCAAAAGACATCGGACTTATATAGCAGGTCTAGTAAAAAGATATTGACTGCTAATAAATAAGGAAGGTGAAAAAAGTTCATAAGCAAGAGTTTCATCTCTAAATTCACCACACTTTTAAGTAGGCAAGAATGTTCTCAGTAATTTTTAGAACTAGGAAAAATTAGAGCCACTATAATGCTGAGATATTTGTCAAACATAGACCCCAAACCAGCTTCGAGCCCACGATTACACTTTTCCGGGGGGTTACGTCTTAGCCACTGTACTACTGAGAACCATGATTTGCCTTTCTCTCAGCAATTTTTCTACCGCTAGAGTCCAAGTTTTGCGAATATCTCAGCATCACAGTGTTTTTGTTTTACATTATACTCTGCTATGAAAAGTAATAATAGGCAGTAAATAAAAAGTTAACATTATGAAGAAATAGTTGCAGATGAAAGTAAGAATTTCTCAATGCTTTTGAATTAGGTAGTAAAGCATAAATGGCACAAGATTTTCATGTAATGCTCAAAGTGGTAAGTAATGAACTATACTAGAGTGTTATATATTTCGCAGCAATAAAGTATATGGTCAGAAAACCTTATGCTTTGAGAGGGACTCTCTTGACCAGTATAGCTTAATTTGTGCTGTCCTTCATCAGGTTGAAACCATTTTCCAGTCTTTGCAAGGATTTGTTGACGTTTCTGACATAACGAGCACGCCCAAATAGCCTGAAATTCCCAACTGAATGGAGTTTATTCATTTTTATCCCTTCAGAAGTATCTCGCATGAATTGAATTAAAGAATCACCTTGCTTTTGCTCTGCGAGCGACCTCCGCAACGAGCGCAGCTCCGCAGTTGGCAGTAAAAGCATTTGTGACCTGGGTTTTGGATCTCATACAAATGGAAAGTTTAACTTTTCAAGTTAAATTTGAAGATTATCAAATATTTTTGCAATGTTTTGTATCCATTGGTTTATCTTTATTCTTATTGTATCGCTTGACGAACGATACAAATGAAAGCTAAAAAACTTAATCTTGAATGTCATTTAGGAACATCCATTTATTTTTCTCCTTTTCTTTTTTGTTTACTTAGTTTCTTTAAATGGAACTGCAGGTTTCATCAACGAAAATATCATGCTAGTATAATCATGTTTTCTAGCGGTTGTTGTGAAAATAGTTGATAAACAAATTTTGGGTTTCACCTTTAATTTTAAAAACTACCAGCTTTCTTTTCGATAAGAAATCTTGAAACAAGAGCGAATTCATTAGCCCAGGGATGGATGCAGATGATCAATAAGAGCTTGGCTTCTCGTCCAGAAATGGAGAAAACAGAGGCATGGAACTAATTGATAAATATAACTACTATAATGCTGAGATATTTGCAAAACTCCGGACCGCAGGTGTCTGCGGTGGGGAACGAACGCGCTATTGTCATTTCCGAGGAGTAACGCGCTCACCACCACACCATGCGGGTCCTTCGTTTTGCGTGTCTCTCAGCAAATACCCTGTCGTTAAAAAGAATAGGCTGTAAATAAAAGAGTTAAGATTGTAATTGGTAAATAGTTTAAAATTTGATAGAACTGTTGTAGTAGCAGTAATTGCTAAGAAACGAACCTATACCATCGGCAAACTTCGTCTTTTGACAAATTTGGCAAATCGCGTCGTCATGAGTGCCCACAAGGCGTCGAGCAATTTCTTTCCTTTCATTTATTTGCTTTTCAATCTGGTCCAACTCCGCATCAGCCTTTCTGGAACAGAATGCAGTGCACTTGTGTAACGAGAAACAGGTGAGATTTTCATCGTCAAAGATTGCAATTTTTCGTGAACAAAAAGACGCACGTGTAATTTTCATAGAAACCTCCTGTACGGATAACTTTTCATGCTTTACCTTTTTCCCGCAATTTAACTGAAATAAATATAAGAACAAAACAATCAGGAGGAAGACTTCCTAGCATTAACGGGAATCCATCAAACTTCCGATAATCTCGTGGTTACTGCGTCATTACTATGAAATATACTATCTTCCTAATGTTGTGGAGAGATGCAACAGAGTCACACGATATCACTAAAGCTGTTCATCGAAAGAAAAGGACACGTGTGCTACCACTTCGGCGAGTTCCGCTTTCTAAAACTCAATAAAATATTTTCTAAAACATTTGGCCTCAGCGAAGGAGCTCGAATATTAAGTTTTGACCAAATAGCAAACAATTTTGTAAGTGTCGGAGCGACCGTTTTTATAAAACACAATACTGCCGAATATTTTACGGAGGAGAACTGGGTTCTACGTCAGCTCCGGTACTATATAGCTGATCTATTGCAACAGATGGAAAGAGGTGCATTGGCAAAAGAAGTAGACCACTTTGTGGCCGCTCGAAATAATACTTGAATAGAAAATTTACATTCTCACAAAACACTCAACAGGACACATATATGACAAAAGATAAGAAGATTTGGAAGGCATGCTCGCTATACTCATATGAGAGTTTTGGACCAACTTAAAAACTCAGAAATGAAGGCAATGAAAAATGGCTCATAATTAAACGTGATCTCGCTCATGTAGGAATACTTTCTTGACATTAGGAGAGCACATTCTTAATCTTATTTGAACTTTTCAGAATATACAAAGGAGTGAAAACTTTTAAAAACGCTCTTTACTATTTCGTTGAACTATAGATATTACCTGAAAAAAAAAGATGGGAAAGTAAAAATTCTACAAAGCACTCCTCTAGGTAGAAGCAAGGCACAACAGCACAATGAGCACAATGGTGATGATTTTGGAGTGACTGTCCGGGTCCTCGCTCAGGAATCAAAAACATCAAAGCGCAAGACTCTTGGGTGATAAATTTCGAAAATCGAAAAATGAACCAGGAAGACATATGCTTCACTATCACACATGTCCTGGAGCCTTACTTCAAACTGATTTTCTGACCTGAGTGGATCCCGATCGTCATCCCACGTGGGCAACACGAGTAGTCCCACTCGCGACATCACGGTGAGCAGTTTTTGATCAATACGGTGTTCATTCATGTGTTAGATTTTCGTAAATACTATGGTTTTTCACTGGATTGTAAGGTTATTATTACATAACATATGTCCAGGCTCTGAGGTAGGCGAAATCGCTGAAATGTCGGGCATCGACCAACGACAACAACAGCAACAGCAACAACGACAACAACAACAGTAACAACATCAACAACAACAACAACGAGAACTTATACCAATCGAGCATCAGCTCAACAGGATCAGTTCATACTTACTTGGATACTTAGATCGCCCGTCCTCATTGGTTATGCGAGCCCCAGCATAATCTCCATTTTTCGGAGTTTTGCTGGTTTAGCCAATGTATTTCCTTGGAGTCCCAAGGTCAGCCTTGCCAAAGTATGCCCGATCTCGTCATCACCACAGGCAGTTGCCGCCCTTGTGGCTCAGAGTAAGATTTGTCACAATGCCACTAGTTTAATACCAGGACGGTGACAGATCCTTAGAAAGGTACTGGTTCACTCTTAGCTGGGCTTCCTGGTGGAAACGCCGGACTCCTCAGCTTGGGAGAGCATACCGGGAGAATGAATCCTCCGCTGTACATCGCAACCGTCGGGCTCCCAGCCACGATGAGACGGTGAACCGTTGGGAGAAGATCAGTTCATAAGAACATATTAAATACAGATATTAAGTTTTTGTGTTGAAATTGCGAAATTGTTTCACCCAGCAGATTTCATGTTAATATGACCTTTTCCTGGTTGTGAAACGACAGTAGAAGTTTTACACTAGCAATTTCGTAGCGCGTAATCTAAACAATAACTTGTTGATTAATTACGAGGTGTATGGAATGTCAACTCTACAGTCCTAGGGACGCGTGTGGCGCAGTGGCTGGAGGCGCCACTGCAACGCACACGTGGAATAGATCCCCGCGTCCGTGGCCCACCAAGCCTTCCGACCCTCCGGGCACCAGATTTGTCTGGGAGGATAGCACCACTGGCTCGATACATCGATAGGCCAACGCAAAGCGTTATAAAGGCCAAATATGCATTAAAAACCACATCCAACGATGCATACCGCGTGTATTGTAGTGGACTTCTAACCACTGAGCTATAGAGACGCTTACGCACTAATAGTAAAATAATTAGCACCGAAGTTTTTGAGAATAAAGAATGGTGCAGTGCTTTAAACAAAAATGATTTTGAGTTAAAGATATCAACCAAAACTTTACAAAGCAGGAATAGCCTCCTATAGTGGGTGCGAAGCCTGAAGAGAACACCAACCGTCCTTTCAGTGCTTCAAGATCATGACCATTGGCGAAGTATTCAAAAATACTGCTAAAGACTTGATTAAAAGAACCGCACCTTAAGGTGGCAATTGCGTTGTCCGACCAATCAAACATTTCATTCTTCATAAAGGTGAAAACGGCTTAGGAAGCACAATGCTCAGAGATCCCATGAAATACACGCATGGTCGTAGGATTGACCTCGCCCCGTGATAACTAGGCATCGTACCTTGTCGCAGTCAACTAATTTAACTCAATATGTATTCTTTCTTGATAAGCTTGCACGAGGTTGATAAATATATTTATTTTCGGCTAACGTTTCGACGTCTTCGTCTTCCTCAGAGCCGGTGATCCGAGTTGATGGTCCATGCTTGTTGTTCGCCTCGACGTTGCGTCTTCGCCTTCGTGTCGAGCCAGATCCTCCTCAGTGAGCCATCTTCTCGAATCTAATTTAACTCAGACTCGTCTTTAAAAAGTTACATCAGGTCCACGAAGCCTACAGCTGCCTCCGATGATAACTTCGCAACGCTCTAGCCGAGCTATCTTAGAGTTGCGGAGAGAATTGACTCGACCAACATTAACGAGACTTACGAAGAAGGTAAAGTGATCAACTAGCAGCCGAATATACACGCAAGTGTGAACATATGCGTGGATAACGGATGCGAGACAAGTGAATAAAAGAAGTGTTGTGATCCACACAATATATTATGAGCAGTTATGTAAATAATAGACAAAAAATTCAAAAATATTAAAAGTAAATGATTATGGACGAGCTTTAAAACATTACACATCAACGGCATGTCATGAGTGAATTCTTCAGAATAATATTGAGAAATGTTCTACAATTTTGGTCAGAGAAACGACCTCAACCGAGGTAACCTGCACAAAATCCATGTAAAAAATTTAAAAAACAGAATGGTGCTCCACTCGATGTGCAGGATGAGTTGATAAAGATATGTTGAGTAACTGAGCACTTTTTTTTGAGCGCATGTGTGTAAATATCTTCGCAAGGTTCTTTTAGCGCTTTTCTGCAGAAGAAATCCACGTCAGGTAATCCACATAACGTTGGGATGCGGGCTATCATACGTACTACTTACCAAACGACGAAACAATGGCACAGGTAGCACTCATAAAACGCGAGTGAGGAAACTTTGACCTTGATAAATTTGGCTCACGGAACAGACATTATGGAAATGATGACTGTAAAAAGTGCTAATAACGACAGATGATTAAGCCCATCACATATTTCTACGAGATGACACGCTTTGTTTTCTTCTATATAATGAGAGATGAGTAGTTAACAAGATGGAGAAGAGTGACTTCAATAAAAATCGAGTGTGAAGAAAATATTTCACTAGTCAGTTTGCAATTCGCTACTGAACAAAATTTTCATTTCACCTATCGATGAATATAGAAGATTCGTTTAAGAATGAACTTCGACAACCTACAGCGTTAATTGTACCTCCTTTGCTTCCTCATCCTTTTGCCGTTTCAATACTTGTTCGATTATTTCGCGTTCTTCGGCGGATAGATGAGAAAGGTCAGGCATCAATGATAGGTCATCCATGCTTTACCGGATGTCACTCTAAAATGCATAATTTTCTGTGATTATGAAAGTTTGCAGTTCCAATGAAAATGACACAACCTTGTATGCACTTGGGTGATTGAACCTTCACAGTTAACTGCAGTCACTAATGGTGGTCCGTGCAAACAATACCATGGACTAAACCTGCACTGACAGTTCGCTTTGGCTTGCTGAAATAAAGTTTTGGGAGAATTTCACCACTACTCACTTATGAGAAAAAAGGCGAAGAAAATAATAGAGGAATTGTCTGTATCCACCAGACGTAATTCAAATGAAGCTGCATCTTTTGAAGAATAAATCGGCCATATTAGAGATCAATTTCAAGTGATAAAAATTGATTATGAAATGGAGGAAAAAAATTACAGGAAAAAAGGAGAGATCCAAACAAGATGTGCGTTGGAAAGTAAGTGTCTGAGAAACGATCCCCTTGCGTCTGCACGACAAAGAGGAGCCTCTTCCATTGTTGACTTTTACCACAAAGGAATAGGAATTTTGAATCATTATTTCATGTGAATTTGGCCCTGCTCAAAACAAATCCACTGACACATTTTTCAGTATGACCTGCTTTCACATTCACTTATCTTCATCATTGATGAAGGCGTGAGGATTTGCGCGTGGGTCTCGCTGCAATATGAGGATTTTGTTTGTGATTCACCAATGTCGCCGAGAGTTTGTTCCGCATGATTTGAAAACCGGATTAGTTTGCTAGAGGTTCCTAATTCTTTACGATATGAACGACACGGACCTGCAGTGCCCTGCGAACCGGCGAGAGCTTTTCCCAGCGGAACACTGGTACCAATTTACTGACCCCAGATGGATACGGTGTTTGGCTAAGAGTAGATTGAAAGAGTTGAACCATGGACCATGTGTGTATTGCAGATCACTTCTGAGCACTACCTTAGTAAGTGTTAAAACTTAAACCATTTTAGTTATTCTGCTTCGTTTCACTAAGCGATGATATGCCATTCAAACTACTTCTTCAACACAACCGTAGTTGACGTTTCGGCTGAATCGGCTTCTTCAGAGGCGCTTTTTTCACCTGTCCTCCACCAAGGAAGAACAGCCGCTCAGAGTCACATACGGCTGACGACTGGGAACTACTCCTTCACCTTACCTAGACTCATACCCCGTCTTTAGATATAAGTGCCGCAATTGCAAGTACTCCCTCACATTTTCAAGCGTCGAGAGCTACAGATTTAGGTGCTTTTCTTCTCGGAAGTATTGGTTCGACTCTTCTCGAGAACGAAGTAATAACCAGAAGTGAAGAAGGATGAAGAAGTTACCATTAATAACCTCCTAGATATTTCTGCAATGATTGGAAATTATGGATACCCTTCCTGCTTTTTGTGCCTTTTCACATGTTACGAAAGTTTTCAATACAAATCAAGCTATTTATCAATGACCCCTATACCAGAATCAGTGCCGAAAATTTATGCTCGTCCAGTAAAGAATGCCGAAAACTCTCTCAATCACTGCCTGTTATTTCAGCCCCTCAGTGGTTTCCTTATATATGAACTTTCAACACTACGTTAGAGTCTGCAAAGAGGTTGCACTTAGAAATAGCGCGAAAATTTGACCATCTCTGATAATAACTCAATATGTGCAAGAGCCAAAAAATTGTGATTAAATGCTTTAAAAGAAACAATAGAAAGAAATTAATGAAAATTAAGGATTCGAAAGATTGATGGCCAATTCAAGAAGACCCCACAACTTACTGAAAATACCAGAGATATCTTTTAGATCGCATTTATTAGAGTAAGTCCATTAGGAAGAAACTGTTACTGTGAAATTTACAAGTAATAATTACCAGTTTCAGTTCTTTTCCAAGAAATAAAAAATTTAAGAAATTCTTATATGCGATTTGGCATGCTGAATTGTGCACCCTCAATCAATGTTAGAAATCAATGCTGTTCTGGATGAAACAAAGCAAGAACGATACCTGTGGTAAGGGCATGGAAACGTTGTAACACGGCTATCTCACAATTCTAAAGAATCCTAAAGTCATAGGCCAGCCTACACAGATGAACCCGACCGCTTATGTGGATAACGATTCCATAACATGGAAAGATTGGAAAAATACTGGTGATCAAATATCACGCGAGGGGAAAGCCAATTCGCCATCAAAGTAAGTAGTCTAACTTGTGAAGAGTAGCTAAATTTTCGTCGAATACCTTTTTCTGACCAGCTACAGTAATCCTTCGATCACAGTAACCACCAGAACTTCTGCATATCAAGAATACTGTCCCGTATAAGCGGTTTAAAATTACAAAGCTGTCAACAAGATTATATCGTAGGCATTTGTACACAATGTAGTGAAATGGATATACGAAGGAAAATTGCTTAGCAGAAACTCATTCTTCAGATACGAAGCGCTTGTGTCAGGAAGAAATTTATCCCCCAAATTGATGAGTTGAACTGACACTGTTAACATGGTTTTTAATTCTCATTGTATAAAACTTACTACAGTCTTCGAGAGAGTCTTGTTCCCCCAATACGTAGACAACAGAGAAACGGCTTTAGAAAAGACAAAGTTGCCAAAATATTAGTCGTCGAAGGCCAAAAAAAATGTTTTAATGACCTGTCGACAGCTCATTAACGACAGCGATGGGAACACATAAGTGGTGAAGAAAAGACACACCTAGAATCTGTTAACAGCATGAAAATTTAATAGCAGCCGAAGGTAATTGATTTATAGATCGCAGATAATTTCTCATAAGTAGCTTATTACTGAAAGCATAAAATTCAACTACAGAATAATCTCATTGGTGTTAACAGAATACTTAATACTTCGCCCTTTGCAGACGAATTTGTGATATTGCCAATTCAAAGGGACCGAAAAGAACTATGAATTAGGTTGAAACCAGCAACGCTAAGTTCATTATAATGCAAATTCTGCCTACAGCGCAAATCCTAGTCAAGAATTAAAGGCGCAAAATTTTGCATTACTTACCGTTCACAACACTATCAAGACTTACTGACAAGAGGTTTACACGCCTAGTTTCGAAACAGTGCTCACGTTTTGAAGCCACGAAAGCATTCCCTAGGGCCTTCGCTGCTTTCTTGCCGTTAGAGGTGACGCCTCAGTAGTTTTGAAAGAAACACAGTAAAAGCAAGTAGTCTGGAAGCAAAAAAGTGTTGCCTCTATGAAACTAAAATAAAATGTTGTAGCCTTAACCTTTTTATTAACTGCCTATTCTTTCAACGGCAGGATATGTTGCGAAATATAACTACTATAATGCTGAGATATTTGCAAAACTCTGTGTGTCTAAGGTGGGGAACGAACGCGCTATTGTCTCTCCAGGGGAGTAACACGTTCACTACCACACCATGCGGGTCCCTCGTTTCCCCTGTCTCTCAGCTAGTTCTATCGATCTTTTGCCATCAGCTTAACTGGGTTCAATGCCGATTTGGGCTCCCCAGATCAATCCCGTTAACGGGTGATTGCTGATGCTTGTGAACGATAGAACTAGCTGAGAGACAGGCGAAACGAGGGACCTGCATGGTGTGGTGGTGAACGTGTTACTCCCCGGAAAGGACAATACCTGTGGTCCAGAGTTTTGCAAATATCTCAGCATTATAGTAGTTAAAATGTTGTAGTTATTAATAGACTAGGAAATTACCAGCACTTCAAAATAGGATGCAATATTCTTGGAGAAGCAGCACGAAACTACATTACACGACTCTCAGCTGAAATGACATTGATAAATTTCAGTTGAAGGGCGTTCCTTTTCAAAGAAATAGTAACGTTATGTGGATTTCAGAAATTCCGTAATCAAGAGCGACTCCATCAAAACACATCAAAATAACACCTCAGCCTGGTTCTTGGAAAATAGACAGGGATTTCTCGATCACTAGAGTATTCAACGAATCGACAACTATGAAAGAGACTTTGTTCCACCGCGTTAATTGTGCTCATATTTTTTTATACAGTAGTCGCTCAATTTCAAACATGTTTCGCAAAAAAGTTCTGCAAAATTAGGAATATAATTTGAATGTTTAGAAATCCTGATGTAAGTACAGCAGCTGCGAACATAAACGATACATTGGCGAACACCATCATGCGCTGCTCAATGAAATTCCGCTTGCCTAATTGCTTTGCTGTTTGAAATATGAGCTTTGACGCAAAAGCTCTAGAATTCCATTTTGTAAAATAAAATGACTCGAATCGTACGAGCAAAGACTTGTTAATTCTATTGGTCTTTATTCTAACTAATGATGTTTAATATAAGTTCAGATAAAGGGGTAAAGAATAAAGCTCTTGGCATTGATCAATCCCTGAGGGATGAGCCATGCATTCGACTTCATTGAGCACCGTCTGGAGGTGATTGAATGCATATCAGGTCCTTACGACGACTCACGGTGGCCTATCGATGTATCGAGCCAGTGCTGCTACCTTCTCAAACAAATCTGGTACAAATTTACAGTCGCCATTAAATCCGCATCGATTTCACTGTATACAATACGTGGCCGGCATATGTGCTAAAGATATTTTTCTCTTTCAAACCACAGCAATACCCTGTAGCATAATAACTGCACAAATGAATATTGAGAAGAGAAAGGAGATAAGATTGGAGATAAGAAAGACTAGAGAAAGGAGATAAGAAAGATAAGAGAAAAGTTAGCATGTACTACCCACCCTTTATAGCAAATCCATACTATGCTTCTATATAAAAACCACGGGATGTCAAACGATTCCACGCTTTAAACAATTGGCATCGTCTGTCAATCGACGAAAAAGTTGTTAGTTTCATAAAAACAGAAGCCTCACAAAAAGCTCATCCTTTTTTGGACAGGACGAAAGCCACTCACTGAAGAGATTTAGCAAAGCAATGTTTTTCAAATTTCTCACACATACAAAGCGAAATCTTTGGAAAGTACGTTGAAAACGAACCAGTTTGGAACGTTCTGCACAACATGCGAACAGAGACGCTGCGCTTACGAAAATCATTCCATAATCTCTCCACCTAACTGCGAAAGCCCAA